GGGGGGGGGTGTTTTGGGGTTTACCCCCCTCAATTTGTTTTTGAAGAAAAGAAATGAATACTTCCTACCCCCGACCTTGGTCGGTGCGATTTCCACATTTTCAAACACCCTCCTTGAAAAAAATCCTGCGTACGCCACTGTGCATACATATATATATATATAGAGAGAGAGCTTTAAACCTTAAAGAAGAACTAGACGGATACTTTTTTGTCTGAATGGGAAAAGAGGAAGGTCATGTTTACTCTTTACAAAAACGGAAACAAAAAAAGTTCTTGAACCTCCTCTGAGACATTTTCCTGACCTTTGCACACACAAAAGTAATAATAATAATAATAATAAAGATAATAAAGGACAGCAATTGACAACTTTGATAGAGCTACGCACCATTGTTCTCTTTATTTCAGTTTTCCATTGCTGTCCTTCCTTTTTAATTTTTGTTTTTGAAGAGGTTGAAAATATGTTTTCACCCTTTGCTAAAATTCGCACAGTCACACACAAAAAGAGAGGACTATGGCGAATTTGATAGAGCTACGCAACATTAATCTCTCCATTTTATTTCTCACAATATTGTGTAGGTTATTTCCAAAAGAATCGCGAAAGCTGTTTGCATTTCTCATATGTCTTTCATTTATATTGTAAATAAATAAATTTGGACTTATGCCTGAATTTCGTCAGGTTCAAAGCTAGGATCTAACTGATGTACGCTGCTTGTCAGCTGCTAGATGATAACAATTGGAGAATATGGGCGGCCAAATGGTTCAAAATTTAACGTGACTTCAAACAAACAAAGAAAAGTCATAAACAGACGAACGACGGAGCAAAAGAAGGAAAAATAAATTTTAAAAAGACGAAGGTGCCGAATGGTTGAAAATTAACGTGACTCCAAACGAACAAAGAAAAGTCATAAATAGACAAAGGACGGAGCGAAAGAAGGACCATTTTTTGGGTAAAGGTGCCAAATGTCAATTCTTGAAAGCGCGCAGCAGCAAGCTACACTCGGCCCCCAGATATTAATAAGTCCTCATCGGCTTGGACCATTTCCGTGACGCGCGCCTAATCAGCTGAGAAAATAACAAACCCTCAATGCTGAACCGGTGACAGCAGTCCACGTTCTCGTCGTGCAAATCTAAAAGTCCCTATTGTTGCCTTCATTTCGACGGTTGTTTTAGGGGACCGCGCTGTGTGTGGGATGCGTGTGATTGAAGAAAAAAATATATAAAAGTGTACTGAATCTGAACTAGATATCAATTAAAATTAGCCTCGAGTTCACTCTCTTTTGTTCGTTTGACATGGACCTTTCATCATTCAAAGTTTGACTTCAATCTGTTTTTTCTTGAGTTTATTTTTTTTTAGCAATTAGTCACAATTGACTATTTTTGCGACACACTTTCCAACTCTCTGCTATGATTAGTATTTATATTTTAATTATTTATATAAATATTCAACCATATCGGGTACATTAAGTGGACATCATTAAAATCCTAACCCTTGTCTGAAGAATTTTTTTCCTCCTAATGACAATGTCTACTAATTTAATGACTCACTTTTTCACTCCAAATGTCCGTCTAATGACTCGGTTACATTGTTGAAGGTTGAAAAAAAAAACTGCCCAATTTTTGTATGAAATGTTATTTATTACATTCCTTCTACTGTACTAACCCTCTAACATGCACAAAATCCTGACAAAATTCTCAAACCATAAAGATATTTATGGTTCTCTTTGAAGGCGTCACTGTGCGACACCCTTTCAAAGTAAATTCTCCCAACCATTTTTGAATTTTCCCGTGGCAACCGTTTTTCCATGAAAATAAGACATAAGACAGCCTTTTAAAATATGTCAACAAAAATGACTGGAATGGTATATAGAGCCAATTCATTGCTTTGTGACAATTTACATTCACCTTAAATGTAATTAAATTGTAATAATAAAGTTTGGAGAATTAAGGCATCGATCAGATTTTCCCAATTATCTTTAATTGTATATCTAGCATCGAAGTCACTGCCTTAGCACCCTTTCCTCTCCTCTGAACAATGTTACCAAGTCCCTTTAAGTAAAATTATATATAGAGACAGATATATTGAAATATGCCTTCTATGAGAAATAAAACGTACAAACGTTAAGAGGACACGAAATTGTCCTCCTAACATGGACGTAAATCCTTACGTAATACCTATTGTTCAGGTATCAATTGCAGATTTACGCCCATGCCTCCTCATGACAATGTCTACTTTATGAATGACGTTTTCACTCCAAATGTACGTATAATGACGCCTTTAGTAAAATATATGTTTATAAAAATATACAATTACATGTCATAAATGACTATTTTTAGGATTTTTATTAATCCTTTTTTTTTCTCTCGCTTTTTTTTCTTAATTGAGAAAACATTATAATTTTGATTAAATACATTTTGGACAAGACCGTACACTATTGTATACGCGCTCTAATATCGCTTCTGCATGCCCAGACATGTGTTCTACACATTTACCCACCCTTTTCAACATGCCATCTTACCAGTCTTTGAATTACATTTCGCAGACTTTCGGTTTTAAAACCTAGGTCACTCCCGCATGGGTGAGGGAGTGCCAGCTAGCATGTGATGCCGGGTCGATCACCGAAATTGTTAGCAAATTTAAGTGGTCAAGTAACAAGTATTGCGGGCTTTATTGGGAGAAACAAAATCTGACATTATTTTTTTTTGGAAGTAAAATTTTGCATTGGTGGCAAAAGGTGAGGTATAACCCCATAATGGTCCTAGTAATGGAATTGTGTTTTCATACAGCCGCTTTGTTCTTAAAACGAAGCGAGCTATTGCTTTTTTTTTTTTACTATTTCTGAACTTTTAAGTAGTGTCATGATTTCCTGTGGATGTGATAAATAAGTTTCTGCGAGTAACATAGCTCTCCTCTTTCTGAAATGTTCTTCGGGCATTCGGTGAGAAAGTGGTTTGCAGTTTCAATAATTCCTATGCAGTTATTGCCATTTCCTAGCGGGTGTATATTTAATCTGAAGAGATTTACGTTCAGACGTATCTTCCTCGTTGCGATCTATGGAGAATACTTTCTTCAAATCTGTTCAAATTACATGAATATGATGTATTTACTGCAGGCAGTATCTGTCTAAGAAAAAGATAAGAAATGTTCCATCTGTCTTGCCAGAATTTTATACTTTTTGATAATTTTTTTTCTTCTTCAGAAAAGGACAATTTATTACAATTTTCAATGTTATTTTTAAAGCAGATTTTGCATACAAATCTGCCATTTCATTTCCGTTGATTGCGATCATGCATTAGGGCTACAATCTTTTGCCGGAATCTGTCTGCCATCATCTGTCTTCTTAATTAGGGCTAAGGGCATTTCAACGAGTACTGTTTTAGCTACTTGTAATGAAACTAAGCAGATGCGGCTCTATCGGGGGCGGGGGCGCAGTGCCCCCACACTTTTTCAGATACCCCAAAAGTGCCAATTAACGTTGTTAGAAGTGCCCATATTAATTTGTAAAAGTGCGCCCCTCTCCCTTTTTACCTCTGACAAGTTTCTTTGTTTATTTTGGCACGCGCCCCTCTTCCTTCAACAAGTTCCCATTTTCCTTTGCAATTATGTCCATTTTCTATTCTCATAAGTGACCTTTGTTATCTCTGTTTTGTTAGGCCTGTTCGCTCCCTGGATCCACGCTTGAAAGCCCCCCCCCCCGGTTTCCACTGTTGTTGTTGTTGCTTTAGTGTGTCATTCATTTATGAATATTTACGCCATTGTCTGCATGGGCGACAATCCAAATTAGACCGTGGGGGGGGGGGGGGGGACACAAGTTCAGACAGGGCGGCGCCAGGTTATTTTTTTAGGGTGGCGAATGGGCGCGCCACGCAGGGGGGGGGGGGTGTCTGAAGATTTTGTTTTAAATTGATGCTTAAATGGTTCGCTTTGGTGCATATTTTTTACCAAATTAAAAAGAAAACAGTCTTTAGTTCAACTGACATGAAAAAGAATGCAGGGGGTGTCTGAGGGGGATGTGCCCCCCTCAGAAGTGGAAGATTTTTTTGAAATTGATGGATAGATGGCTCAATTTGGTGCATTCTTTTTGCCAAATTAAAAAGAAAAACAGTAGAACGCAGGGGGGTGTCTGAGGGGGGATGTGCCCCCTCAGAAGTGAAATTGATAGATAGATGGCTCAATTTGGTGCATTCTTTTTGCCAAATTTAAAAAGAAAACAGTAGAACGCAGGGAGTGTCTGAGGGGGGATGCGCCCCCCTCAGCAGTTGAAGATTTGTTTGAAATTGATGGATAGATGGCTCGATTTGGTGCATTCTTTTGCCAAATTAAAAAGAAAACAGTAGAACCTAGGGGGTGTGCCCCCCTCGGAAGTTGAAATTTTATGTTTAAATTGATGGAAAGATGGCTTGATTTGGGGCATAATTTTTGCCAAATTAGAAATAAAACAGTCTTAAGTTCAACTAACAGAAACAAGAATGCAAGGGGGGGGGGGGTAGATAGATGAATTTGTCGTTTCTATTGAACAATCAGCCATAAGGTTTGGAAGATTCAAGGGATTAACTTGATTTTTTTTTCAGATGGTGAAAGGATTTTCATCGTAAACCAGTTTTTGAACTTTTTGAACGGTAATGTGAATGTAATATTAATGACGCTTGATTTGGCTTGATTTTTCTCAACACAGGGAGAAAGAGAGAAAGAAAGAAGAAAAAAAAGAGGATTTTAACCCCAAATCATGGGGGGGGGGGGGGACATTTCACCACCTTAAACAAAAATCGCGGGGGGGGGGGGCGTGTCCCCCCGTCCCCCCCCCCCCCCCCAAGATTGACGCCCATGATTGTCTGTACCAGTCTTGTCCTTTCAAGATAATAAGTCGCCCGTAGCTGGTGTAGCTAGCTAGCATGCACAGCACAGGGGAATCCCCAATATAGTCTATATGGGAATCGCTATACGAATTCATGAACTGGATCTGGAGCTATAGATGTAGCCACTCGTACTCCAGCAAAAATGCTATCTGAAGGAGAAAGGAACGGGGTACGGAAACTCTTAAGAATGATTTCCACAGAGGATCTTGTTCAACTTGCAAAAACTGTAACAAACAGGCTTGTTTTTGTTGAAAACAGAGAAGGTATGTAATATAATTCTGGTATGCTGTCCGTCAATCCTCGGTCCCATGTGTGTAGATTTGTGTAAGACAGAATTTAAAAAAAAATAATAACAAGTGAAGTGCCACACCAGCTTAGACTTCATGTAGTTGTCAAAGGTTTATTGATCATCATGACCCTTTTGAATATGTCAAGCGAATGATTAGTTTACTCGTCTTGCTTTAGAGATGTGAGTCTTGCCTAGCCCAGCTCAGAGTCTTGGCAATCAATTCGGCCAGTTAAACAATTTGTCACAAAAACTGTGCACATTGCATTGCGCAAGTAAATTATATCGTGCTTGCTTCGATGTTGTTATCCCATTTACATTAGTGCAACAGTAGACTAACGGTTCTATGTACATGCATGTACTCCCACTTGTGCTTTGGCCTAGTATATTATGAGTATGAATGAGTGTAAAATGCAAGGAATTCAACTCACTAATGTTAAAAGACATAATTCTATGAAAATAGTTTTTAATTTACACTCATACTCGTAGGCCAGTTTTGAATCCATGTTAAGCATTCACTGCTGCAGTAGTGTAAATGAATACTAATTATATCTGTGTATATACTGACTAAAAATGTGCTAGATGACAGTTGATAACATGATCCTTTAACTATACTCTGCCAAAAAATTAGAATGGTTATATCCTTACTTATTTTTATCCTTTTCTTTATGGTAGAGGCTGCCAAGGCAATCATAATGTATTCTGACAGTGCAGAACAGTTTCTCCGCCGCAAGCTAGTGAAGCGAGATTTAATCTTCATTTACCTCGCTGATCTCAATGTGCCTATGTCACCTGGTGCAGACAAGAGCAAGCTCATTCAAAGGGTGCTGGAGTGTTGGCAGACTACGGTTGATGATCCGAGGCGCAGGCAGATTGCTGCTAATGATACGAGGCAGACAACGGATGATACTAGACAGACAACGGATGATACTAGACAGACAACGGATGATACAAGGCAAACGAGGGATGATACAAGGCAAACGAGGGATGATAATATGGGTCATCCTCCATCGTGCCAGGATCTAGCCGTACACTTCTCCTCTTGGTTCTTCACGCAACTCAACCAACTTCACCCTCAGCATCCCGCGGGAGCCACCGGGGACTGGGGACCTAGGCACTTCTTGGACGATGCCAGCCTCAAACTTTATGTCCTCCGCGGAACCGACCGCAGCTTGGACGCATACGGCGGCTCTGACTTGGTCTCACAGAGATTAGGTTGCCTGGTGAAGGAAGAAGAATTGGTGTTCAATCCAAACTTGTCTGCAGAGGGTACTCGAGGGTGCGGTGAGCCACATGGACTGGTTATGATCTCGGTGTGTGGAACCATTCACAAGGCGGGAACGTGTATAGGACTCTTTGAGCAAAGCTTTGGACTCGTCAGAGATCCCATGGCAGAGAATAACTGGAAGATCAAATTCATCAAATTGCAAATGAAGGAAGAGTCGTCAAGGAGTGTACCAAAATTAGGACAGTTCCCTCAACTTTAAACGCTACCACAATGTATGTATGTAAAGGCAGGTTTGGCAGTAGACTGAAGGCTTCAGTCTCTAGTATCGACGGTCGTTTGGCTGAGAATATGTCTTGCTCCACAGAGACTGAACATACAGAGACTGAAGTGCATCGTACGGGTTAGTAAGAGGAGGTTACGCAAGGAGATCTCATCTTGCGCAGCAGCAGCTTTAAGAAAAACGGACAGATTAACTGAAAGTCAGTTCTTATATTTTGATGTTTTACATTGATTTTTTATGTAAATTGTATCAATATATAATTTTCATTTAAAATTTGGAATGCCATACCGAGCAATACATCCAATTGCAATAGCCAACTACTATTTAAGAGATCACTAAAAATAAGAAGTATTATATCATGCATCAAAAATTTGTTGGCTTTTGATTGGTTGAGAGCTCGTCACATGACCAAAAATATTTGAGCTATTTTTAGAAAGTACTATATGAGAGTACTATTTTGGTTTACTATTTGGGAGTTGAAAAAAAATGTGAATTTTTTTCTTAAATTGAATCAATTTTTTTTCAAATCTTAATTTAATGAAAACAAAATATTTTAAATCTTTTTAGATAAAAATTGACATTTTTTTTGTTTCAATTTTTTTTTCTTCTCCCAAATTTTTTTTTTTTTTTTAATTTTTTTAAAATAAATTTTTGATGCAGGGTATAAAACAAATATACCATGCCTTCTATTCGAGGTACTCGTTAAACTATGGGCCTCGGTGACTCCAAAAGTACCATTTGCTTCGGGGCTGCGCCCCTCAGCAAATAGTACTATTGGAGTCACCTCTTGCGCATAGTTTTAACCAGAACCTCTCAAGGCAGTGTATATTTGTATATTATCCAGATAATTAGAAATGTAACTCAATTGATCAGAGCTCCCTTATTTGTTAACGAGTACCTACTCCTCCCCTGCCTTACTCATGACCTACCGTATATTATGTATAATTGAATTTAATTGCATTTAACCTGCAACAATAGTTTTTTTTTTTAAGATGACTTACTTGACAAGCCCCCTGTGGCCTTTTTCAAAGTTGTCTTTTTCTCATTTTTGATTTAGTTATGAATTTATTATGTCACAGTTTCTAAGATAATTATTTACATGTAAATAATTCTTTTGTGTAAGAACATGATGTCTCTATTTTTTTTTAATGTATTGCGTGGTATATATGAGTTGATCTAAAAAGGGAAAATAAGTGAACATTTCATTTTTTTATAAATATATGAATATATACCTACTACTTTGTTGCCTTAGCAAGCAGGATCTAATATTTAAGATAACTGGTGGAAGGCAAGATAGTTTCTTTTGTTTAAAAAATGGTGGTTTTATGTGCCACATTATTTTGCAAAGCTAATTAGTGTCAACATTTTTAGGAGAGGGAAATTAACAACTAATCATGCTAATCTGTTGCAAAAAGGCAATATTCTAAAATTATAATGTGAATTTTCAAATATGTTTTTGTTTTTATTAGAAACAGGAAAAAAGTTAAACTATTTATTAATTGAAATCAGTATTGGACATCACATTAAACACCATAATCTGCTTTTGTAGCACTTTGCCAAGTACTGGATTATGTTTGACGTTTTCTTTCGTGGGTGATTTATATGGAGATGTCTTATATTTTTTGTAAGGTATAATGATAAATATTATAAGATAGAAAGTATGAATTTACCTTTTTGTTATTTATTTCTACTCTAGATTCACAATGCAAAGTACATAAACGATATAATTTGCAATTCATGTGTAGCTTTCTATTTGAAGGAAATTTGCTGATGCACTCGTTATTCGTAAAAGAGTGTCTAAACTGTGAGACTACGATATGCAGATTGTATGGTCTACTGCATACCATAGACTCTATACTTAAGCTGCTAACAGCCAGAAACTAGTCTGCAGGTACAGACTACAGAGAACATACTCCAATTCGACACTACCCTAATTTCTAAAGCCTTGAGCAGAGCCTAGCTCTGTCAGTCTCTGACTGTGTAAAAGAAGAGCAGAGCCTAGTATGCAGAATGCCGTCAGCCTAGTCTGTGTAGACACTGTTACGCAAAACAAATTACCAAATATATATTTATGTTATTACTTGCAAATTATTGGGAG